TCTCTCTCTCTCTCTCTCTCTCTCTCTCTCTCCCTCTCTCTCTCTCTCTGTTACATCCAATGGTAGACACTGTTAATGTGTGAATGAATACCAGTGACATACAGTAGAGGGTTACAATAGGATCAGGCTATATGTGAATATGGTCCATAATCAAGAGTATCCCAATACACTATGAATATACTAATACATACAGTACCTGTACTACAATACAGTACATGTACATGGTACAGGGTCTATCAGTACATCCCATGATGGTGTAATAGGAGAAGGCTGCAAGAAGAAGAGGTGTAACACACTGATGGAGGTTACACAACCAATAAGAGATTACCAGTGTACATCATATCCCATACCCATACTATAGTTATCTGTCAATTTTTAACTCATGCACAGTCACGTATACATGTATGTTTTACTATTATTATCAATAAAGATATTTCAGACATGCTATCCCATATATCATACACTATAGCAGAGTTCAATATAGAGGGTTCATAGTGACCCTCAGTAGTATTTGATGGTGATTATAAGCCCAATGTGCTAAATTCCACACACTATAGACTCTCTATAGTACAGGCATTGTTCTACATTCAACACTGTCTACATGTACTGTATATATGGGCTAGCTGTAATAATAATGATAATGATATATCTGCATCAGCTCTCTCCATATACATGTACCTATCCTTCAACACATGATATGCAATGTACATGTACATGTACATGTATGTGAAAATAATATTATATATATATAGGATATTCCTTTAAATACATTAGGTTAAACCAAAAAGGCTCTTGACTATCACAACATTCTACAAGTAATGTACATGTACATGCATTTCTCTTCCTCTCTCTCTCCCTCCTATGTCTAACCCCTTTCCCTCCCCCTAACTATCATTACAATATGTACAGTGTATGACTATTATTATTATAAACATGTCTATTATTTCTCTTCTCCTCCTCTTTCTCCTGTGAGAAGGTAACAAGATAAAACCAGGTATTCATAAAGTGCTAGACACTGCTAGACAGGGGTATCCATTACCCCAAAGTCTGATGCAATAGATCAGGCCACTGATCAGATTACAGTCACATGATTCTGTATGTGTACACAATACACCTGCTGCTGACTTCCCGCCCACACCCTCGGCACACCCACGCTTATAATGATATTCATGATTTGCTTGTAAACAAAAGGTAGGGTTACAAGGATGAAACCCACACAAAAACACATACCAGTGTACATGTATTTGTAGATCATGTAATAGAACAAGACACCTGCTCTCTCTCTCTCTCCTTCCCTCCTCTTCTCTCTCTCTCTCTCTCTCTCTCTCTCTCCTTCCCCTCTCTCTCTCCTTCCTTCCCCTTCTCTTATAATAATATAAACTACCTCTCTACATGTTCATAACTGTACAGGAATATAAACAAAATAATCCATCACATGCACATGTACATGTACATGATAATTATCATTACATACACCTGTCCAAGATTACAAGAACACTGAAACCCTATACTGTACTACTTACGTTGAATCTTTAGCTCCAATTCTTCCGCATCTCTTCCAGCAGCATTGACAGACTCGCACTTATAAACCCCAGCATGATCCAGTCCTATCTCCTCTATACTTAACACAGAGACATTAGAATTAATGGACTTTATGATGAACCCATCGGTATTATTAGTCACTGGGGTATTGTTGAAGGACCAGGTGATGACTGGAGGTGGAAAAGCAGACGTGTCGTTACAAGTTATTTCAAAAGGCGTCCCTGCTACTGCGTAAGCTATTGCGCTTCTAGGAGTAAGAGCAATGACAGGGTAGGCTGTAGATGAGGGAGAGAGAGAGAGAGAGAGAGAGAGAGAGAGAGAGAGAGAGAGAGGACAATGTAAAAACATTACTCTTATTATTCCTGATACATTTCAACAGTCTGGCCCACTGAATAGCTTATGAGTATCACATGAGTGATGTGTTAACAATGCCAATACAATACAATATACACTACCATTGTATTCAACCATAATAGCTTAATAAAGAGAGGGGGAGAGAGAGAAAGGGAGGGAGAGAGGGAGGGAGAAAGGGAAAGAGGGGGAGAAAGAGAGAGAGAGAGGGAGAGGGGGGGGGGAGAGGAAAGGGAAAGGTAGAGGAAGAGTATAGAGGACAAAGCCTCAGAGACAGGATAATTATTTATAAAAGAAAACATTTCCTCCATTCTAAGTACATGTACACATACACAGTAATAATGCACTGTACATACCAATGGGTACATCTACAAGTACACTATATGTACATGTACATATGAGAGGCTTCTAGGAATGAGACCACAATGCAATATAGTACTGATTGACCCGTTTTAGTAACAGGATAGGGTGTAGCCTTGTGGTTTGGGATTAGGATACCCACATACAAGGCATGTAAGTATTATACATTTATATGTAGATGCTCCGTGTATACATTATACATCAAAGGCATGTAAACAGGAAATAGCTTCAGGTACTACTGGTAATTAAAACCAGTCATAATTGAATTGGGAGAGGCTGCTGCATTTATTGGAATTCTATTGAGATATTAAGTGCTTTTTATAGTAAATACATGTACATACAAGTACATGTACATGTACATATCAATGAGGATTAACTTAAAGCACTTAGAGAATGTATGTATAAATACATGTGACTGTTGTGTGTGTGTGTGAGAGAGTTGTATGTTTTAAAAGGAACTGACACATAACATATATACAAAACAAAGACTCACACCTGTCCCCTCTCTCTTACTACATACTTTGTATGTTCATTTCAAAGGAGTCCGAGGCGGTTCCATGGTCATTAGCAGCGTTTATATTGTATGTCCCAGCGTGCTTGAACAAGAAAGGAGGAGTAATGATAATCTGACTCTGAGATGATGCGAATGGTAGAAGGATTATACCATCCGAAGACTGAATCGCATTGCCGTTATGAGTCCAAGTGAAATTTGGTTGAGGGTTTCCGGTAACTAACATACCAAAAGTCCTATCGCTGGAGTAAGATCCATCAAGCCTTGTTACTTCCTTAACACCGGAAATAACGGATGGATTAGCTGTAGAGGAGAGAGAAAGAGGGGGAAAGAAAAGAGAGAGAATAAACACTGAATAAAATAACACCATGTTACTAAACCAACAATTAAACTGACAAGGCTAATACTCTCTTTTAAGGAATTATAGACACACTCACATGACAGAGTCTAATCACAAGTTTAATACAATAGACTAGGAACAATAAGGAGATGGTTCTCATTCCAGTCACATATAGTGGATTAGACAATAAAGGAAACAGCTAATGAACAGTTTAGACATTATAATTCAATAGACAGCAGTGCAAGTTAGAGCTATCTAATAATAATGAGACTAAGCATCTTTCCCTCTCTCTCTCTTTTCTTCTTTCTTTTTAAAACTTGGCATATTAATATAAAAAATTCCAACAATGTCCTGTTTACTCCGAAGTTATGAGGTATTTTGTTTGTTTTTAGTCTATGAATGAGCTGCCATTGATTCCAGTACATTTACACATTGCATTTGAGTGCTTTGCACCATGTACCACTGAATGGAGAGTGTTTATAACCTTTACTATACTGTATACTCCTTATCTCTCTCTCTGTACTTACAATTAAAACTCCATATCTCAAATTACATATAAATAAAACACTGCAATTCTCTCTCTCTCTCTATCTTTCTCAGTTACAGTTGTATTTTCTCTTTACTAAAATTAAAATATATACTAACTCTCTCTTTTAACTTACAAGTTGTTACGATTATAGTCTTAGTGTCTTCAGGTGCTTTACAGCGATAGACACCGACATCAGTCTCAGAAAAATTCTGGAACCTTAGGGAGATCTTCCCATCGTCGATCACAAAGGCATATACAGCATTACCCGTAGTGTCATCAGGACTGGTGTGATTCAGGAGCAATTCAGTACCATTTTCTAGGACACGGTACCATGCTTCGTATGGAGGGTTAAAGCCTGACTGGACTGCACCGGAGATAGTGTAGTTGAGTCCTGGAGAAAGGGAGATGGAGCGATTCGGGCTACTTTCCGTGGGGAAGACAAGGTGGAGACTTTGCCCACTGGAACGCTCATAAGAGTCTTGCTTTATTTCTATTCTTAGCTCTGTTGGTTGAGCTGTAGGAGAAAGAGAGGGAGGAAAAGAGAGAGAGAGAGAGATAGAGATTAGATTATCAAATTAGTGACTGCCTAACATAATATGTACATGCATATTTAGGTCAGTCCGTGAAAGTAAATTTGTTACTCCAAATCAACACACACAAAGTTGTACACAAACACACAAGCCCCAACAGGAAAATAATCCACAAAATAACTACAAACCAGCTCTTACCAGAGGCTAGCCCGCCAACGGAGACGAAATATGCCAGAACAAAGAGTATAAATCTGCCGGGCATCCTTCCGAAGAGATATTCTGGATTTACTTAAACTGCAAGAGATATCTGTGTCCTTGAATACGACGACAATGTAGAGGAGGTGAAGGAGAAACGATGGAGCAGGAGAAAAGGTATGAATTCCAATAAGAGGAGTAAAATCGCACAATGTGAGCTGCAAAATCAGCAAACAAGTTCACCTGACAAAGAACACGGGACGACTTTTCGACAGGACAGGGACAAGACTAAAGCTTTCTCTCTCTCTTTTAAAGAGACTAGAAGAAAGCTTCTTTAACTAGTAAACAAAACAATACAAAACACTATTCTGAAAGAGTTTCATCTCCTCGGAGATGGCTTATATAATAATGCGAGATCGCCATTTTGAATTACTAGTACTAGTCTAGTAGACCAGTTACTCCAGTATGCAAGACTGGTTTGAAACCCACCAATTGAATATCAATTAATTAACTATTATTAATAGTTATGAATATTTAATGAGCACCTAAATGCAGAAGTTTAAAAACTTAACAGTTTTGAACAGGATCTGTAAAGAAAATATCACAAAAAATATTAAAGTGCTAGCTTCCATATAAAAGTACAGTCAAACCTGTCTATTCTGGACACCTTGGGACCCAATAAAACTGCCTTTATTAAAGAGGTGTCCTTATTTCAGAGGTTCATTAATACACATTACTATTGTATTGGGACTGACACTACCTGTCCTCATTATAGAGGTGTCCTTATTTTAAACTGTCCACAATAGCAGGTTTGACTGTACTTCTCTTTGTACAATGGTATTTGAACAATGGCCTCTTATAATTATAATAATAGCTGTAATATAAAATCATTAAAAAGAAATGTACAGCAAATATAATATAGCAAAATAAATAATTATTTAAGTTACTACTCTCTCTATCTCACACACTCAATCAAGAGAGATACTACTAGGTACATGTATATAACACAATAACTAAATTAATAACTACAGTCGATTAATTATTAATAATAGTTAAATTAGCTGTGAGAAACTAGGAACCAAATTCCTCGGTGCTGGAATCAATCCTTTTAAACTCATAAGCGCCTCTACCATCAAATTGCATAACATACTAATAGGAATAAAGAGAGAGAGAGAGAGAGGGAGAGAGAGAGAGAGAAATGAGTGGACGTGAGAGCTGTCACAAGAGAAAAATGCAAAACAAACGAGAGAAACAAATTCTAAATTCTTTTCCGTGGGTACATGTACATGTACGTGTTGCTACACAGCTGCTCTTAAACTTAAACACATAAAGACACTTTATTGGTTCCTGCAATTTTGATATTAAAATTGATATTTCATGTTGGACTGTCATAACGTGATTCACACCCACGCGTGCAATTATAGTAAAGTAATTATAATTAACGACTATAAATATTTTAAAACTTTCCCCTTTATATTTAATAAAATGGACACACACACACAAACAAGCAACAGTTTCAGTGATTAATTATTAATTAATTTTAAAAATGCTTTGAAGTAGAGAAGTGTCCTCATTTCAGAGCTACTTTTGTATAGGCTTGTACCAATTAGGACATTACAAAATGTCCTCATTATAAAGGCTACACTGTAATGTAATACAGTAAACATTTGACAATTAAACACAATTAATCTTAGCTATCTTTCTCTCTCTCTGTGCTAACCTCATGATGTTGCCATAGTGATTTCCTGTGAGAGACTGTGAATAACGTTATACCTTTCTGTAGAAAGGAAGCAGAATGGTGGAGAGAGGAAGAGGGAAGGAGAAAGAGAGAGAGAGGGAATAGCTATAATATACACATATATATGTACATGTACATGTGGAAACTGAAAGCTTAAGTGAAAAAAGATAGTGAGAACTCTCAGTAGAGGAACAAAATCAACAAATTGAGAGTAACAATTCAATACTTTCTAGAACTTAAGTTGCATATGCTAATCCGCGAAAAAATAGAAAGTTTTGTTCCTCAATAATAAAGCACTAGATTATAGAGCATAAGGAAGTTGGTGATTAATGATTGAAACAGGAGACATTAACACTTTGTGTTTCATTATATCATTAGAATAAAAGAAGACACTACAAACCAACACAATATGAGTACAAACAATAGCTCATAAGCACATGTACATGTACATCATATACATGTACATGTACATGTACGTGTACATGTAATACAGGTGCTACTCTTTCTCCTGCTGCCATGACAACAAGATACCCACCATAGTCACATCAGGAAGGAGAGAGAGGGGGAGGAAGACAAAGAGAGAGATAAGGGAGAGAGAGAAAGGGGGAGAGGGAGAGGAGGAGAGAGGGGAGGGAGAGGAGGAGAGAGGGGGGGGGAGAGAGGGTTCTGCTCTTACCTCCCTACAGTGAGTATATATGTATCCCTCCACATCAACACTGACTGCACTAGTACACTCATCAAGAATAGCAAACTGAGGTTGATGGTAGAACAACCTGGCCATCTTTAAGAGAGAGGGAGGGAGAGAAAGGAGAAAGAGAAAGGAGAGGTTTATAAGATTTTAAAAGAGAGAGAAGTATATTATATAGTTTAATAAAACAATAATAGTCTCTCACGGCCATTCTTTGCTTTTCGCCACCACTTAAAACATCCATCCAATCCTAAAAGAGAAAGAAAGATGTATACATATATATACATTTGTTTACACAAACATGTACATAAAGTGATGGTAGTACTATCGATAATGTCACATGATGCTTCACACATGGATCTGGTTACTACTACACCAGTACCACATCCTTCACATTCATTAGGGCCACAAGCCACACACATTCAATTAAATAATTCATTTTATTTATTATTCATTTAAGTAAACATCTACTGTACATATAGATGTAGAGTATTTTAGTGAATATTGAAACTGTACTGCAATTTCTAATTCTGTTTATACATACCATATTACCATATTATACACACAAAACTGACACATATATGTACATGTACATGTACCATAACAGCAAGCAGTGATTGCATGAAATTTAATGCAACGCATAATAATAATAATATTATGATAATTTGAAGAATGTACATTATTGCTTAACTACCTGAAATGCATCCCAACCACGTTCTCTTTCTAAAAGATACTTGAGCTGAACCTGAGGGAGGGAGAGAGAGATGGAGGGGGAGAAAGAGGGGGAGAGAGAGGGGGGGAGAGAGGGGAAGGAAAGATGATGAAAGATAGAGGACAGGGAGAAAGGAAAGGGAGAAAGATCAATCACAAATAAATCACAGAACAGGACGAGCATAGCATGAGAGCGGAAACATGTGACGCGTGGAATGTCACTAGTACACATCTCAAGACAATTGCATCATATCTTTATAATTACACAAATTAGGATCGACATTATTGTAACGTAATAGGAATCCTGTGGTTTAATGACGTCTTGTTTTATAGTATCACATGGCATGATTAAAATATTTTAAATTCCACAGACAAATTTACAATACATACTTAACCTTATCTCAAAGTGTAAATATACATGTTTTTAAATTACGTAATAAAGCATATTAGTAGCTAATCTTACAATAAATATTTAAATTTATTTCAAGGAGTGGATATGTATAAGCATCAGCCTCTACATAATGGACACTTTGAAAGTGTCTCTGTTATACAGAGGTGTCCTTTATGTGGAGGTTATTTTATACAGTAAGGAATGTAATTGGTACACTAGGTGCTGTCCGTTAAATGGAGGTGTATGCTATAGAGAGGCTATACTCTCATGCTGATGTGTTAAGATTTGAAAACAATAAGAATGAATGAGACAAATAGTCTAGGATATTCAGTGAAGTCATATGTCTAACATAAACAGACAAACAGAAGGTAAGGGCTAGTAAACAACTCAGCAAACAATAAACACAGAAGCCAGCAATAAACAGTCACACTTCATCATGTACAGTCTAGCAGGACACCATTGGGCCTGCACTACCTGTCCTTAATACATGTACAGTGTAGCCTCTTTATTAAGGACACCATTGGGCCCACACTACCTGTCCTTAATACATGTACAGTGTAGCCTCTTTATTAAGGACACCATTGGGCCCACACTACCTGTCCTTAATACATGTACAGTGTAGCCTCTTTATTAAGGACACCATTGGGCCCACACTACCTGTCCTTAATACATGTACAGTGTAGCCTCTTTATTAAGGACACCATTGGGCCCACACTACCTGTCCTTAATACAGAGGTGTCCTCATTTCAGAGGTACTTTTGTATAGGCTTCTACCAATTGGGACATTACAAAATGTCCTTATCATATATAGAAAGGTGTCCTTATCTCTATCTTTATTTAAAGGTTACGCTGTACGTAAATAAAATATTATAATCAATTTAATTACGACTGTATACAATGAAGAGATTATTCTAATCGTGTGTTTACTATCAAAAAATCATAAAAGTGTGAACACACTTCAAACCACATTCACATACAACTTGTACTTATTCATTATTATAATATTATTAATAATACAGACATTATTTACTATCCATTAATTAATATTCATATATACTGCATCCAATAGATTAATATAATGAGTTATTGGATCATTAATTCAGCCTATAGTCTATTAAAAAATGGCTCCGAAATCACCTCCAAAATTCATTACATTTTCTAATACATATTGATGCCCTTATGCTGTGTAGAAAGTTTGAAGTGATTCCAACTTAAACTTTTCAAGTTATGAGCATTTTAAAAAACGGACCAAAATCTGAAAAAATCACTGTACTATATATAGCCCATGGTTTTTTCCAAAAAATGGCCAAAAAATCACCCCCAATTTTTATTACATTTTCTGATACATATTGATGTCCTTATTCTATACAGCAAGTTTGAGCTGATTCCGACTTAAATTTTTCAAGTTATGAGCATTAAAGATCTAATCTTACCAAAAACACTAATATTAATATATTTAGTTTCACCACATAGAAAAGAAGCCATAGCAATCTCCAACCAACAACACTCATTAATAGCAGCTGCTAGAAACCAAAGAACGCAACCAAAAACTAATAAAGTAACTACATGTACTTAAAAATGGCTTCCACTAGAACACATATTAATACATATACTAATAATGCTAATGCTTTGTAATGTAATTATAGCTCATGTTTACTAGTAGACCAATTGCTAGTGTTTCCCACTTAACTGGTTGAGCAAGAATTAAGAACATGCAAGTTACCATGGTAACTGTGATAGAGTAGTAATAACAAGAGAGAGAGGGAGGGAGGAAGGGAGAGAGAGAGAGAGAGGGAGAGAGAGGGGGGAGGGAGAAAGGAGGGTAGAACAGGGTTGTTATTATCATTAGGCTCACAGACTTAGAGGCACTGTATTTATTATGAATGATCAATGCCAGCTGGACTGGTGGTACATTGTTTGATATTATGAAAACAATAAAATATGTTCAGGAACACATCACATGACAATTAATCACAAAAATACAAACAAGAGGAGAGAGAGAGAGGGAGAGAGGAGAGAGGGAGAGAGAGGAGAGAGGAGAGAGGGAGAGAGAGGAGAGAGAGAGAGAAGAGAGGAAGAAGGAGAGAGAGGGAGAGAAGGTGACATCATTGCTTTTCTTTGTGAAACAGAATTCAAGGTATTTTACAGTTTCATGTCAACAATTTGCAGCAGCTGCCACTAATAGGCAGAACATGTGCTGAGTAACCAAACACAGAATGACATAATGTTCATGTAAACAACATATTAACAACCTTTAACAATACATACATGCACATATACATAGTATAAATACACACACACATACATACATACATGTACATGTACATGTATATTGATGGTGTTTGTCTGTGGAGGGCATATGATACCATTAAAGTGTCTAATGGTTAATGGTTTCACAATAATGTGTGTGTGTGTGTGTGTGTTGTGTAGTGGATTTGGTTACAGTAGTTTGTGCACCTGTTAAAATAGAACTACCCTATCTCTTAGGGTATTAGAACCCATAGAATATACTAATAAATATAATAATATACTGAAACTATAATGGCTAATGGACAATGAATCATACAATAGTTGACTTGAAGCAATAAATGCAGTATAGTACTTATGGCTCCATTAAACATGCATCAGGAAATACATTAAAAAGGTGGTCTAACTTATTAATTATTCATATGCAATATAAATGTGCACTAACTTATTAACTATTCATAGTGGGAGTGGCTTAATTAATTGTATTAACATTTAATTAACAACACACTAGCCAGACCCATTGAAAGTGGGGGTAAAATTACCTGGGGGGGACCAGCAAAAATAAATGGTTATAAGTTAAACTAAACTGGAAGCTCCTGCTATAAAATTCACCACTTTGTTATAAACTTAAAAATGTAACTTAGGCTGCTAAATCACCAAAAATAATTATACAACTAAATTTGTAACAAATTGCAAAAATAAACTTCCTCCAATAATTTCCAGATCAAATTAATGACATTATTATTAATTATATCTTTATTATATACACACACAAAGAAATATCCACTATAAAATTGACCATTAAAAAAAATTAACTTAGCATGATCAAAACAATGACATAATGTGGCTGCTAAATCACCAATAAAAAGCTATTTTTTAATCACAAAATAAAACTTTCTCTAATAAAATTAATCTTACATACACAATAGTACAATCCCTATTATCATTACCTTGGTTAGATATTCCTCCAGTACTTGGTCTGATATTCCTTTCTTCAGCTGCTCCTCATGAGTGTCAGGGTATATCACCTGATCCCTTAACATGCCTAGTGTCATGTACGGTCGCTATGGAAAAGGGGGAGGGGTCAAGAGGTGTAGTTATTAGTGGGAGGGGTCAAGAGGTAGGGGTGTGGTTATTAGTGGTAGGTGGTTATGGGTTACCTGTGGTATGTAGAATAGTTTGCTTTTGTGTGGTTTGACAAGACGACCTCCAAATAACGGCCATAACTAAGAGGAATAGAAAGAAAGAGAGAATGGATCAATATATACACTATGGTTGAATTTAGGGGTGTTCACAAATTATAAAAAATATACAACAATCTACAACAGGGCTGGACAATATACTGATACATGTATGTTAGTATTGACACAATATTAGTTGAAATACCAAAATATTGATTTTACTGAAATTTTGGAATTATTATTAACGGTATTATGGTGTATGACTGCATGTATAGTTGCATTAATTAGTCAATCAACATGACTTTTTCTCAGTTCATCTATACTATATCCCAGTTCAGTTTGGGACGGAAGTGGAAGCACACCGAAGCAGCTGCGTGGAATTTGAAAAATGTAGTAAGTCACAAATGACGTAAATAATGATTTCATAGAGGAATGGCAGCTGTGTTGTTTCACTCTTAAAACAGTCTTGCCGCTGCTGATAAGCAGTACAATAGCTGCTGGAGTCAACTAGTTTTCATAAAGGCCATCATTATCAGAAAATCTTGCTCTATTAGCTTTTTAAAAGAAGAATTATCAGTTTGGGCGCTCGACTACATGTGCTTATGTAAACTATGACATCATAAAACGTCATTGCGGTTAGCTTTGGTATGCCATTGGATTTATAGGGAGAACCCGGTTCTCAGGGTTCCCAAGGGTTGAGAGACCCAAGATTTCACAGATTTTGATGGACTTTGGCGACTAAGAACCTGTGAAAGTTTCATCCTTATCTCACTTTCCTATAAAAAGTTACTCCAGTTTTTCTTGTCCCAAACTCAACTGGGATATAGTATATTATAGTGTATTCATTGATCTGGCTGTAGTTATAAATAATGAAACATTGAGGCATCAATACCGCCCAGCCCTATTCTACAATAATTATATATTCTTTGCGAAATTAATAATAAAAAGAATTTTAAATGATACTATCTGATGCAAAATTTTAACATATTAAATTAATTAATAAACAACAATTCGTCTATTATTAATATCAGAAACATACAATAATCCATCTTTATCAAATGCTAATCCATGAGGACGATCAAATTGATCAATATTACTGCCGTTACTTCCAAACTTCCCAACAAACACACCATCACTAGTGAAGACTGATATACGATGATTGCCCTCTTCACTAACATACACTAGACCAGTAGCTGCAGTGTCTATCGTTATACCTTGTGGATACTTAAGCTGTCCAGGATCAGATCCTTCAGTACCAAACTGACCCACAAACTTTCCATCCGGAGAGAACTTCTGAATGCGGTGATTCCAACAATCAGCAACATACACTAATCCTTGACTGTCAACAGCAATGTCACGTGGATGGTTTAACCGTCCATTAGCTGATCCTTTACTACCAAATGAATGAGAGAAGGTTAGATCAGGATTCAAGACTTGTATACGATGATTATCATAATCAGCAATATAAACCTGTCCTGTTATAGGAGAAATGGCTATACCATCAGGATACTTGAATTGTAGTGGTCCACTGCCCTCCTTACCAACTGATGCTATAAGGTATCCATCCATGCTTATCTTCTGGATCCTGTGATTAACATCAGATACCAGAATGAATTTGTCTGGAGTAATGGCTACACAGCGAGGAAAAGAAAAATTGACATTACCACTTACTCCTTCCCCTCCTAATGATTTCACTTTCTTTCTTTCTCTATCCAGTATTGTTACACAGTTACCATTAGCCTCAGCTATTATAAAATGATTATCGTCACTTACAGCAACTCCCCAGGGAAGCATAAACCCAGTTATAGTACGTACTGGAGTGATGTTATCAAGGTAAGGATTGAAAGGGATGACTAGTGAGGTATCCTCAAGGTGTACATCATATACTTGTACTTTTACTGTATGAGTACCACTGGTTGAAGGCTTACACTGTATCCTATACACTCCAGGATCAGTGCTGGTGGTAGTGACTGTAGTGTCAATGGGTTGATCACCTTTACCAACTGGTACTAGAGTACACCTCAGAGAAGAGACGGGAACACACAAAACAGATGAATCTGGTGCCTCCATTGATAGTGAAAACGAAACTGCTTTGCAAGCAGGTGTAATATGATCAATCTTCTTCACTCTACACTGCTGTAGTGCAGTAGATGAGT